CTCTAGGCACTGTCATAGCTGCCATGAAATATCTACACTGGCAGACCAGAAACAGACATTAGAGATAGCCTGTAAGTGCAGAGGAAAATGCTTAACTCATGAAAGTGTCTGAGCTTCTCCCACTGTTAGATTCATGCAAGTGAATGTGATTTCTTCATTGATGCATATTCCTCATTTAAACACTGGATTCCTTGGATGACTGTTTCACAAACACCGGCAGACTACTTAGATAATTTCTGCAACATTAATGTGGTACCAGCTCTAATTACAGGCTACCTCTAATATATTGGACACAACGTTCAGTAGAAGTGGGACTGTTTCCCATAGACTCCGGTGGTCTTATGTGTCCCCAAACACAGGACCTGTGCCACCTGCCTGGCTGGCACATACTGCTTCCCTGGATATCATGGTATGTGACCAGAAGGACATGTAGTGTGTGTTGAAGGAAAAGAGGCTTGCCAGTGCTAGAAACAGCTTCTTCCCAAGCAGCGTCAAGTTGTCTGATGCACAGAAATGTATTGGATGGAAGTTTTACTGTTGTTTTCAAGAATTAAAACATGAATATTACATGAGATGAATGAAACTTGCTCTCCATGCTTTTTAAAAAAATAGAACTGAGTTCATGAAAGAAAAGCCCAACAAGAAATACCCCAGGGCTTAAAACATCAAGAGTATAATCTAAAAAGTTTATAGTTCTCACTAAAATTATTATCTTCTAAAAGTGCTGGCTCAGAAGTTTGAAAACGCTGTGAGTCTTGAGCAAATGGGTTATATTCTTCAAGAGCATTTAATCAGGAAAAACTCCCCAGCAGTTGAGCTCCCCCCCTCCCTCTACAGACTGAAACCATATGCAGTACTTTCTCATAGGATTAGTACTGGAGCAATGATTGCAAGAAAAATATTAATTATGAAAAAAATTCTGAAAGAAGTTACCAAATGAAATAGACTTTTCAGACTACAGTACTTAGAAACAGACGAGCCACATACTTTCAATGTGCAAGGATGATGGCTACCAGAGGATATTAGGCATTATCGCCATTTGGCAAACTGTTAATATTTGAGGCTGAGGATTAAACACAATCTCAGCTCTTGTCATCATAATTTTCCATTCTGGTTACAGTTCTAAGACATTCCCCAAACATCTGTGTTAATGAAAATGATGTGTAGCTCTGCTTCTATCCTGTGGTTGTTATGTGTCATCAAGTTGCCTCCAACCCATGGTGTCTCTATGAATGAGTGACCTCCAAAATGTCCTGTCATCAGCAGCCCTGCTCGGTTCTTGCAAACTCAAGGCCATGGCTTCCTTTATGGAGTCACTCCATAATACCATATCTCCAATTATGAGCCTGCTCAGATGTTAAGATAATTAGGAGAGGCCTTTCTCTCGTTCCCGCCACTTTCATAGGTGCCACCATCTGATGAGCACACAGGAGAGACTATTTTCTGTTGCTGCTCCCAGACTTTGGAACTCCCTCCAGGTTGGCCCCATTTTGCTGTCCTTCTGCAAGCAGGCAAAGACCTTTCTCTTCCCTCAGTAATTAGTCACCTGTTGTGTGATTTTTTTTTAAAGATGAATTTTTACGCATTACTACTTTGACTGGATTTTTCATAGTATTTGTGTTTTCCATTTCTCGATCACATTTTTTCATAGTTTGTATACTTATTCTTAGTCTTAATATTGCCTTTTAATGAAGTAAGAAGGCTCTTTATACTCATTGTCCTTAGCTTTAAATATTATTTTTTAATGTTGTCAACCACTGTTGGATTCTTGTTTTCATCTTTAAATATTGTATTTTAATGTTGTAAGCTGCCTTGGGTCCTTTTCAAGGAGAAAGGTGGGGTAAACATATTTTAAATAAATAAATCTCATTTTTGGTCTTCCTCCTTTCCCTCTGCCTTCAATTTTTCCAAGCATTATTGTCTTTTCCAGCAAGTCTTGTATTCTCATGAGGCACCCAAAGCAAAACAGCCTCGGTCTTGTCATTTTCACTTTTTAGAGAGAGTTGTTCATCTTTCTGGTGATTCATGGTATCTACAAAGCTCTCCTCCAACACCACATTTCAAATGAATTGATTTTTTTCCTGTCACCTTTCTTCACTGTCCAGTAATTATAACAGTAACATCAGTAATAAGAACTGCTGGATAGCTCAGTGGTTTAGTTATCTGGCTGCAGTGTCAGGGATTGGGAGCTCAATTCTCCACTATCATCACTTGATTATCCCCCCCCCCAATTTTGAACTATATTATTATTGTTGCTTTTTATTTTATTATACTGTTTTTATTCTATTTTTATTGTTAGCCGCCCAGAGTAGACATGTGTCTAGATGGGCGGGGTATAAGTTTAATAAATAAAAATAATAATAAAATGTACCTCCTTAACAGGGGCTGGACTTGATGATTCATAGGGTGCCTTTCAGCTCTGCAGTTCTAAGATGATGATGATTATGATTAATAGCTGGGCAACGCCAGTCTTAATATATTTATTTTGAATTGTGGATTGGAAATACAGTGATATTTATGATTTAAATAAGCAAACCCAAGTCCTCCTGTCAAAACACCAGTGCTATCATCCAAAGAATAGATCCTGAAGCTGAGGCTCCAGTACTTTGGCCATCTCATGAGAAGAGAAGACTCCTTGGAAAAGACCCTGATGTTAGGAAAGTGTTGAGGGCGAGAGGAGAAGGGGACGACAGAGGATGAGGTGGTTGGACAGTGTCATCGAAGCAACCAAGATGAATTTGACACAACTACCTGAGGCAGTGGAAGATAGGAGGGCCTGGTGTGCTCTGGTCCACGGGGTCATGAAGAGTTGGACACAACTAAACGACGATCATCCAAAAATGTGTACAGAATGCCATTATTTGACACACAGTAAAGGTATACATGGGTTTGCTGACCTTAAACATTTCTGTATGGATCAAATAGTAAAACTTTGAAACTACTTCCATGAGAGCGCAGTCTCACTTCATCAGAAGATACTAGAAAATGATAAAGGTGAGCATCAACCCAAATTTTGCAAAAATCCCACAGTGCAGGGATATATGGCTCAAGAAAGTATTACATGGGCAGCATCTCAGTTGCCTCCTGAATGATAATGATGATATGCAACAATTGAATGTGTGGCTTAAATTAGGCTGTTTTCAGGCTGAAACTGAGGGATTCACATGCAAAGCAAAGTGTACTGCTTTTATACTGCCCCATAGTGTTTAAAGGGGTCCCCAGCCCTTTTAACACTGCGGACTGGTTGGGGAAGGCGGGGCACCCCCCCTTCTTCACGCGCCAAGGGACCAGCGCTTTCTTGTGTGGGTGCTCATGCACACACGCACGCATGCACGAAGGGCAGTGGGGTGGTTGGGGACGGACACACACACACACACAAATACATGAAGGGGTGGGGGCACTCACGTGGTCACACAAATACACACATGGGTGAAGACTGAGTCAACCTTGAGCCAGCTATCTGGGATTGAACCCTAGGTCATGAGCACTTATGGCTGCAGTAAAGCAGTTTAATCACTGTGCCAGAAGGCTCCTCAATTGAAGACCAATTTATCCACACTAGATAATTAGAAAATAATCAGGAAGCAAGGCATAAGTGAGACATGTAGGCTTTATTTATTTATTTCATTTGTACCCTGCCTATTTGGTCTTGTGACCACTCTAGGCAGCTAACACAATCACACTCTAGGTTTGTCACAATCTAAAGACACAGTTTATCATATCATAGCTGTATGCCCTAATTGAACATTAAGGGATTATACGTGCATGTATAACCAATTGGAAAGATTATTTTTCAGCAGTTGGCTAAATCTAATACGTAGATAACTCACACCTTTTCCTCCATATTATAAATTCCAGGAAGCTCCAGTTTAAAACAGTTGCCAATAGTTGATTGCTTGTTTGCTTCCTGAAATTAAAAAAAATCGGTGATTTTACTTTACTTTGTAAAAAAAAAAGTCTAAACCAGTGGGGCTGGTATGGGTGCTTGACGGACTCCATCACACACCACCATGTTCATGACTTACCAGGAACACTTTCTTCGTATCTATCATATTTCAGGCATATTGTGAGAAGTGTCACTTGAAAAGTCAATAATTTAGGGAAAATGGAAGGCAAAAAAAGAAAGATGGAATAAGAGATGGATTTATCATGCACGAGCTGAGGTCTGTAAAGAACAGAATATTCTGGAGGTTGCTAATTCGTGGTTCAAGTGGAAGTCCCCTGCCAAGGCACATTGTATCTATCCTCTTTTTATTGGGTAAGTGGGAAGATTTAAGGGAACGTAACATAAAGTATCTTACATCTGAAGATGATCTACATTCCACTTGGGGCCTTATTATACCAATTAACCCTGACTGACCTTTAAGGCGTCCAAAAACTCTCTTCCTCAGTCGCTTATAATATTGTTGCATACTAGTCCTTGTTAGCCTGATTTTTTACTGGCAGAGAAAGCGGTGAACACCCTGGGAGAGGGCGTGCCGTCTGCTGGCTGATCAGCAGCGACAGGAATTCTGCATGGTTTTCACACGCCCAGCTCACTTACACTATATCCTGCGGGTAACGACTGGCGCAGGCACTTCAAAACCACGCTACTCGCCTTCTTAACTCGGAACGAGAAACTATTTGTTTACATTTTATAAGCAACTGTTTAGAAGCAACTGCTCTCCCCTCCTCCCTCCCCCCCCCGGCCTACGCCTATCGCTTTCACCAGCAACTGAGCCAACTGAGCAGGCGGCGAAAAATTTTGGCTCTCGCAGCTTTCTTCTTCTTCTTCTTCTTCTTCTTCTTCTTCTCTCTCCCCAGAGGGAATGAAGCCATTGGCTGGAGCAGGGACAGAACTTGGAGCGGAGCGCTGAAAAGAGGAGCGTCAGCCGCGAGAGGGAGGAACGCGCCACCGACGTGCAGCCAATCAACGGGCGCTGGGAGCGATTCAAACGCCGCGCCTCGCCCAATGGCGGCAGTTGGCGCCTCGCCGTTCGCGCCTCCCAAATAGGCGGCGGGGGGGGGAGGAGGGGAGGGGTTTGGAGCGTCGCCGTCCGTCCTTCCTTCCTCCCCTTCAGCAACCAGCGCTTGAGGCGGTTGGGTAGCTGTCGACCCCGGCGCTCCGTCCGTCGGTCCTAGGATTCCCGCTGTTCGGTGGAGACCTCCGTGGCCAACTGTACGTGAGAAGCCGTGGCCAGGTGAGGGCGCGTTGCCTATGAGGTCGGGACACACCCCTTCGGCGCCTTTCCTCAGAGGGGAGGGCACCGGCCGGTCGCCGCCTCCGCCTCCCCCTTTCGCCTTCTGCTCCCTCCTCCATTTTCTGAGGCCTTGCCAGAGTCTGTGCAGTCGGGCCTCCTCTTCTTTCCCCAGTCGTCCCTCTTCCTTCCTTCTCGGTTTTAGCGCAGCCCGTTTTGGGTGTCTTAGGTCCACCGTTTCTTTCGCTTCGTTTGTACTTTATTTTCCTGAGTTTCATCTTTTGAGAAACTAGTACAGTTAACGCAAGTGCACTTTTAAGGCGTGCGTTTCCGGTGGCGGGCCGCCTGGGGGCGCTGCGGAATCTGCAAAAACTGGCTGCCCAGCAATTTTTGAAGCAAGCAGATCCCGCCCATAAGGGGAGCCAGGCGCGACATCTAGACATCTGCGGGCACGTAACGGCGAATACTGTACTGTAGTGTGATGATCAGGCTTACTGTAGAGGGAGGCACTGAAGGTTGCGTTCCTCCTTCCTCGGGAGTTAATCGGTGCGACTTGTTTTGAAATAAGCGCACATAGAATAGAACTGCAGGTGTGTGTTGTGCTGAACTTTATCCACCCAGTTCTGCTTTATGGTCTCATTGTCTCTCATTTGCTCGGGATACTTCTGCAGAGAAATAAACAAGACTCAACAGATCAGAACAAAAGCAGAACTGCTGTAGAATGAAAGTGAAACGCATGCTACTCGTAAAACCATGTACTGTACTAAGATCCTATTGGCATAGCTTTGTGTAGCAGTAAATTGTGATTGTTAAAACCTTTGTATTTGTTTGTGGATGGCTTACAGAGTAAAAAATAAAACACGTTATTAACATCAAACAATAGAAATGTAGTATGCTACCTTAGTTTTTTTAATGGCTCTGTTCTTAATTTTGTATAATACCTGGCATAGGCTGGCATAACTAGTGCTGCTTGTAAGGATCTGTGAATAGTGTAATTTGCATTAGAAGAGGAACAGAACCGTATTTGTGGGGCAATGGAAAAGTGCAGCAACTCTTCTTGAACTTCTTTCCTAATCACATTATAGAAAGGTGTCATGCCCACAAATCCAGAGCAGTTCAAGTGGATGTCCCCTGCCAAGGCACCTTGAATCTATCCATCTCTTACTGGGTAGGAGGAAGGGACTATTTCCCCCAAAATCCTAAGAACCTTTGACTTGCAAGCTTTAATGGAACTTTTGAGGGCACTGGGTAGTCTGTGGCTGGAAGCATAAGGCATAATGACTTGCTGGAAGCATAAGGCATAACTAATGGAAATAGAGGAGAGGTGGCATCAAATGTCCTTATACAGAAAGCGCTATTTTGCAATATTCTTACAGGTACAGGACAAAACATTAATAGAATTTGTGCCCATTGCTTCAGACGTATAGCAGAGTTTTAAGATCTATTTTTGTCCTAATTTGCTGTTTATAATGTTAAATGCACAGTTAAGAAATTTTAAAATCAGATACTTTATGTAATCAGATATCTTGTTCTACTTACGTACATTTACTGAGTTAGACAAGATTTAGTCCCACTTAAGAGATCTATCAGATAGCTCAGTGAGTTGGATAGCTGATTGTTGAGCCAGAGTTTAAATTCCCCAGTGTGCCTTTTTGAAGAAGGGGCAAGCTGCACAGTTTTAGAGTACACCCATAAAAACGAGAGTAGTCAAACAATATCTGAGAGACTGGTGAAACGTTAGGAAGAACAGCCTTCAGAACACGGCCAAAGAACCTGAAAAACCCACAACAACCAATATCTGAGTACCCTATACCTAAAAAAATCCTGGAAGGGACTGCTAGCTTGGAATTAACTTGATTGTACTCATTTTTACTAAGAACAGACCTGCTTATATGGATGAGACTTAAGCAATGTTCCCTTTAATTTTCTGCCAGCTCTGAGCACTACAGGGTTCTGACCATGACCAGAACCAAATGGATGGCAGCACTGGTTGCAGGCACATGTCATTGATTCAGCACTGTACAGCGATGCACCTTAGAGGGAACATTGGACCTAACTCTATTGATATAATTGGTGTCTCGCTTACTTGTGACTAAGCCTGGATTCAGCCTAGACCTCTAGAGAAGTGAGAATTCTAAAATAGCTCAAATAAGAGATATGAAAAAGATTTTGTAACATCCTCTTCCATCGATTGTATGTGGGGGTATTAAAAATAGGTACAGTGGTGCCTCGCATGACGAGCACACCGTTTAACGATGAATCCGCATAGCGATCTATTTTTTTAGATCGCTAATGCGATCACATTGCGATGTTTTAATGGGCAAAACATTGCATTGCGATGATCGGTAAGCGTTTCGCTTACCGATCTTCACATTGCGATGTTCCTAAAACAGCTGATCAGCGGTTCCAAAATGGCCACCAGGTGTCCAAAATGGCCGCCGCAACCATTTTCGCGCGGTTTCCTCGCTTACCGAGGGCGCGAAAATGGCGGCGCTATGGAGGAACTTCGCTGAACGGTGAGTTTGGGCCCCATAGGAACGCATTAAATGATGTTTAATGCGTTCCTATGGGTTTTTCCGTTCCGTTTAGCGATGTTTCCACATAGCGACGTTAATCCGGAACGGAAAAGCAAGCCGGCCAGCCAGGGAGCACAGCGAGCTCAGCCGGCGCGAAGGGGACTCACCGTCGGGTGGAAGGAGGGAGCAGATTTCTCGCCTGCCGCCGGCTTGCCTCCAAAGCCAAAAAGGCAGGGAGAAAGCGTGGGAAGTTTGAACTTCCCGTGCTTTCTCCCTGCTTTTTTTGCTTCGGAGGTTTCAGAAGGCTTCCTCCGATGTCGGAGGAAGCCTTTTGAAAGCTCCAAAGGCAGGGACGAAGGGCAGGAAATTCAAATTTCCCGCCCTTTCTCCCTGCCTTTTGGGTTCGGAAGCAAGCCGGCCGGCTGGCCGGCAAGAAATCAGGGTTTATTACTTGCGATGAGATCGGGTTTGTAACCTGAAATGTTCGTAACTAGGGCCGTTCGTAAATGTTTATTGAACATTTTCAGTCTGTGAGTCTTTGTTTTGTTTTTCATATTTGTTGACATAATTTTGATAGATTTCATCTGTTTCTTGGAACAGTTCTGTTGGTATCCCATCTACCCGTGGTGATTTATTTTCTCTGAGTGCTTTCAGAACAGCTTTCACTTCACTTTATAAAACTACAGGCTCTTTACCATCGGCTTCCTCTCCAAAGGAGTCTCTCATCTTTTGTCCCTTATGTATAGATCTTCAGTATACAGTACTGTTTCCACCTTCTCTCTATTTTCTCGTGGTCAGATAGTGTGTTTCCTTGTTGTTCTTTCAGCATCCCTAGATTAACTTTAAATTTCCTGTTGTTTTCTTGTATCTTCTGAAAGAGGTCTCTTGTCTTACCTCTTTTGTTGTTCTTCTCTATTTCTTTGCCTGGCCATTGTAATAATTTTCTTTGTTTCTACATGATAGTTGCTGAACAGCTGGATTCAGGGTTCTGTCACCCTCTATTTTTGCTTCTTGTCTGTCCTTGACAATTTTAAGAGATTATTTTGTCATATATCTAGTTTTTTCTTTTCTTTTTACTACAAGATATGTCTTTCTGTATCCGTCCTTAGTAATATCTCTAGTTTCAATCCACAATTCTGATTTGCAGTTCGTTTAGTTTAACAATACTAACACTGGCCAAATTCCTGTAATTTAGTGTAGTAAATTGCATTAGACTAGGCCCCATTGAATCAATGAGGATTTAGAATCAACTCCTGTAGGTGCTATTGATTCCTATGGATCTACTCTAATTGTGACTTACTGCACTATAGTAAGTTGCAATTAGAGTAGGCCCATTTGAATCAATGGAATTTGTGGAGTTGACTTACCAAAACCCCATTGATTCAATGAACATACTCTGTTGCAATTTACTACACTAAGTAACAAAGTTTTGGCATTTTGTTGCAGTTTAATGGTTGCATGGGTTTTGGCACACAGCAGTCTGTTTCATCAGATGCATCTAATGATGTACAGTACTGTAAGTTGTGACCTGCAAATGCTCATGCTAAACTTGTCTGTTAGTCAGGTGCCACAATAGTGCAGCAATAAATTAACACAGCCGGACTCGGAGGATATTGCAGAATTGATATAGATGCAAAAATTACACATTTTTATTCAGATTGTTTGGAGTTTTTCTGAAAGGGCCCCCATAGTGCTTTACAGAGATCACAAAGTGGCAGTTCTTACTGTGAGTTTTACAGTATAATAAATAGCAAGAAAAGGAATAGGGAAGCAAACTCATGACAATTCTTAATTGCATTTAGAATGTTAGAGCTGAGAATTAGTGTAATTTATCAGCTGAAATCAGTAATCATATTAAAACATAGGTTTAAAAAGCTAGAACTGTGTCACTGCTTTACATAGATTGCAGCCGTACTTTATTAGGTGATGTGCTCCTAAATAAATAATTTCCTCTATATTGGTTTGTTTAAAGAAACTTTTCATTTGCACTGGATTCAAAAATTCACTTGTACTGATAGTAGAATTCATAGTATTTTAATCTTTTTGACTAAGGGGAACCATGTTGGTTTTGCTGGTAACATCTATTGATGCTTTTATTTACTAATTTTTAATTTTAAAGAAACCCTACTTTCAGTATTTACAGTATTTGTGCTATTCAGTTCTCAAACAGATAAACAGATATGAATGTGATTCTGAAAGTTGACCAATCTGTAAGATTGATGTCAAAAAAACTGGTTATGGTGGGAAATATGTTCCCCTGTCCTGAATCTGAATTCTAGAGAAGGAAGAATGGAGAGCAAGTGTTTTCTCCCCTTTAAATTGTAGCTCCTTCTCAGTTCTGTACAAACCAATATGACAGACATTGCATTCAGTTGTCTGTGACAACAGAACAGTCTGGCTGAAAATTTGGTGGTGGCTACACTTGAAACATTTACTATCACAGATTCTTGGTATTGACTCACTCCTGGGATCTAAATTGTAAGAATTTTTGAGCTGTTAGGAAAGAAATTTAGTGCACATGTTTAAAATAGGTAATAGCTGCTGAAGACCTAAATGATACCAGTACATTTTCAGTGGAAGCCATTGATATATGGAACAAGGAAAGGGGCTCCAGACAATGAGACTTCGCTTGCACTAATCATGGTGACCAGAATTATTACGATCAGGTGCTGCACTGGAAATCCCAACATTGTTCACTATTGGTTAGAGCTGGATGGGATTCCAGGAACATCTGAAGTGTGCTTTGCCCTTCCCAGTTTGGAATGTTTTTCAGTAGTGTCTCTGAATTTCTTTTCTTTTTAGTAGTTGTCATTCATTACTTAAAGAATTGGGAATTGTTGGAGAAGAACAAGGCAGTAGGCCTTGTTCAGTTTCAAGAGACTATGGTAACGTGCTCTGAACAGAGGTCTTAGAACAGTGTCTAGTGTGGCTGGGAAGGCCAATTTGAGAATGACAATCCCTTCCACGCTGAAGACAAGTACAGTCTGTCTCCTGTCCAGCTCCCTGTCTTTGCTGATTTTGGGACTGCCTCTTTGCCTCGGCCTGCTGAACAAGTGTCCTTTCAAATTGGGAGAGGCCATGCTGCCCCGCCTGCCTCCAAGCTGAATGCTCAGATGTCATGGTTTCCCATCTGTTGAGGTCTATTCCTAAGGCCTTCAGATCCCGCTTGCAGATATCCTTGTATCGCAGCTGTGGTCTTCCTCTGGGGTGCCTTCCCTACACTAATTCTCCATACAGATCTTTTGGGAGCCAACCATCAGCCATTCTCATGACATGCCCAAACTGAAAAGAAAACATAAACAAAAAAACCCCAATCGGGTGGGCAATGAAAGGGGGAATCTGCCTATAGCTTGGCTGGTCCGCCACTGCCATCTGCTCAGGATCCTGGCCCGCCACCTGTCGCAGCGCTAGCACCCTGACTGCAGCCACCTCCTCAGGTTTGGCTGCTTGGGGTAGCAATCCAGTGACTTATGGCTCGCGTGCCCACAGAGAGGGCTCTGGGTGCCAGCTGTGGCATGTGTGCCATAGGTTCACCATCATTATGTTAAGGAGTCGAGGTGGAGATCCTATCTTGGGAAGTATTTTAAAAAGGCCGTCCCTGCTAACCAAATCAGAAGCCTTTGTAAGATCTATGAAGGCCATGAAGAGTGGCTCGAAAAGTGTCCCGAAAAACCCACAACAACCAGTGGCTGTCATTGTTCCTTACATTTCTCCTGCAACTGTTGGAGGGAAAATACCATGTCGATGGTGGATCTATTGGCTTGAAATCCACACAGTGATTCTGGATAGACTCTGTCTGCAAGCACCTGGAGCCTCTTCAGCATGAGACGGGCAAGCAGCTTCCCTACAATGCTGAGAAGAGAGATGCCACGGTAGTTATTGCAATTGCCCCTGTCGCCTTTGTTCTTATACAATGTGACGATGTTTGCATCCTTCAAGGACAAAGACTGCTTACTGAAACTGGCAGTGTTCCATCACTGATGATGAGCATATGGAAACACTTTTTGATCTCTTCCCGCATCCTTCAAATAAATGAATTGGTCCTCAATCCCATCATAGTGACAAGCATCTTGTTTGTATATATACAAGTGTACGTACACTCTCTCTCTCTCTCTCTCTCTCTCTCTCTCTCTTTGTGTTTATTTGAACATTGTTCATTTCTGTTACATTCATACAATGATGTAAGCATTCTTGAAGGCTGGAATGTCTGCTAGACTAGTAGTTCCCAACCTTGGGTCCCCAGATGTTTTTGGACTGCAGCTTCCAGAAACCCTGACAAGCACAGCTAGTGGTGAAGGCTTCTGAGAGATTTAGTCCAATAACATCTTGGGACCCAGGGTTTGGAACCACTGTGATAGAACATTGTCCCTGTCATGTTTCCTATATAACAGAGGTACAAGAAGCTTGGACTGACCTATTCAGGAGACTGGGAAAACAATGAAGATATGCTCTGACTTAATCCCTGATCTCTCTTTTCTCTTCAGGATTATTTCAGAAATGCCAAGGAGAAAATTTGCGGATGAAGAAGTAGTAATGGGCCGGTGGCCTGGAAGTGTACTATACTATGAAGTACAAGTAACTGGCTATGATGACCGCACTCATCTGTATACTGTGAAATACAAAGATGGAACTGAACTTCAACTGAAAGAAAGTGATATGAGGGTAAGCCATTTCCTGAATTAATAATTATATCTTTAGGCTTTCTTTGGTTTAGTGATGATGTTGCGTTTTGAGTTTAACGTAAGTCATTATGTGTGCACGCGTGTATGTGCTTGTGTTATTAAAATAAAAGGATGGGCCTGAATCCAATTGTAGTCTCAACTGAAAGCAGACTCACTGAATCAGTGCAATTTACATAATTGCTCACTCATCATTCAGCAGTTGAATCATTGGGTCTGCTGTAGTTAGGATTAGCACTTGGATTTAATCACTATATACAGTGGTGCCCCGTATAGCGAGGTTAATCCGTTCCGGATTAACATTCACTATACGAAAACATCGCTGTGCGGGTAAGGAAAGCCTATTGGAACGCATTAAACTTAGTTTAATGCGTTCCAATAAGCGTGCAAACTTACCCCTCCAGTGATGTTTTCGCGTCCGGCGGCCATTTTGGAGCCGCCGATCAGCTGACCCGAAATGGCCCCTATCAGTGTTTTCGCGCCCTCCCCTTGCTTACGGAGGTCTCGCAAAGCGAGTGCGGCGATTGGGGCAGATCCGTATAGCGATCCCCAAAAAGGGATCGCTATACGGATTCTTCGTTAAACGGTGCCTCGCTTAACGAGGCACCACTGTACTACATGTTAGTGCAGCAGCCATTAAGTTGTTTTTCTGCTTGCTTGCCAACCTAACATGTTTAAGGTTGGGCTATGGTTTTAAATTTAAATAGTACCTTTTTATTTATAATGGGGTGGGTTTTTGTGTTTTTTCATTATGTGTGTGTGATTGGATTTTTCCAAATCAACAAAACATGGTTCATAATACTTTCATGAAACTAGTAGATTTTGTTGATACTTTACAGGCTTTACATGGCAATGGGGCAAGGCTGCATATTTTCCAATAATTTCTGTGTGATATATTTTCTGTAATAATAATCCTGTATATTATTGTACTGTAGAATATAAGTTCTACTCACAACTATTATTGAGGTTTCATTTTCCAACATTAGATACCTTTTAAAAATGTAAATTAGTACATTATGAAATAATCATAACAGTAGTAACTGGTAGCAAAGTATTTAGCGAGCTTTCAATAGTTGTGACTTTTTTCTCTCCTACACACAGAGAGAGATCACAAGTAATAACTTTGATTCACCTACTACTAATTAGTTCACTCTGTAAGTTTTATTGTTGTCATTCCCATTTAGGCTAAAATCAACTATCACATTGGAGCTGCACTCCAGCATAGTAGAACTTTCCTCACCGTTCTCTCTGTAGCTCTCAGATGTTAGAGCCCTCTGGAGTAAGTTTGCAGGGCAAACAAGCTGCACTGAGAAGAGAGGAATCACACCCCTCCCCACACACACACCTTCTGCTATTTTCTCTTATTCTGCCAATGGAATTTCAGTACTGGAACCTGCTCATGTTGTTTCCTCTGATGAATTAAAAAAAAATCCACCCCTTTTTCATCTTCCCATAATCATACTTGTTAAAAAGTGCACTTTTTAAAGTGAAGAGTTTGGAGCCAAGGAGAGCACAGTAACCACGACACGTCCAGCAGTGGTGATGTACAAGATCTGCATCAATGAAGCCCCAAAGGCCCCAGCCTGGTCTGGGTGGCAGCAAACACAGTACCGTCTCGGCCAGAGGTCTGGAACTGTCTCTGGACATAACTGGGGCATATATGATCTGGGTGGAGGGTATTCTGCTTTGTCTCTCCCCTTTTCTAAGTGTTAATTTTTAGTTGCTTATGTTATTAATTTAACTTAATTTCATTGTGCTTATTATGTTATGGTTTTTTATTGTTTATCTGATTTGATTTATCAATTTGTTAACTTTGTTACTAATTATCTGTTATTCTTTAGTCATTAACTCTTTTGCTTTTCTCTTTTTCCCTTGGTTGGCTTGGGCTGGAAGGCCTGCCCCCCCCCCCCCGAGGGGTACTTTGTAACATCAGAGTGATCTCTGGTAGAGGGAGATACGGTGTAGGTGTTGTTGCCTTGTGTTATAGAAGAACGGTGAACAGATGCTTGAAATCTGTTCACTGTTCTGGCACCGTGATCTCCTGCCAGATTCGAGGTAGTCAGCTCATCCTGCCCTCCACTCTAAACCTGGTGTTGTTGAATGCCAGATTTGTATCAAATAAGTCCCAGATCATAAATAAATAAATAAATAAAATAAATAAAATCTGATTATGGAGGAGGATGCAGATCTGACATGCATAACTGAAACATGGATGGGCATGGATGGGGGTGTTCCCCTGACTCTTGCCTGCCCTCCCGGTTATGCAGTCCAACATCAGGGTAGACTGGCGGGGCGGGAGCAGCCATTGTTTCTAAAAACATCCTTCAGATTGTTAGACACTCTGCTCTGGTGATGCCAGGTCTAGAGGCCCTCCATGTGTCGGTTGGGGCCAGGGATGGTATTGGGATCTTGCTGGGTTACCACGGTCCCCGCGACCCAGCCATTTCCTTACCGAAGCTGGCAGACTTGCTACAGCAACACTGTTGGTTTCCCCAAGGCTTTTGGTGTTGAGTGACTTCAATGTGCATGCGGAGGCAAAGGTTTCCAGTCCAGCTCTTGAGTTCTTGGAGACCATGGTCTCCTTGGACATGTCCCAACATGTCAACGGCCCCAGCCATGTGGGTGGCCACACACTGGACGTGGTGTTCTCCACTGAACAGAGTCAGTGTTCTCAGATGGTGACTGACTTTATGTCTGGCCCCTTGCCATGGTTGGATCACTGCTTAATCAAATTCAGTCTTACAGTGCTCCCCCCTCCCGTTGTTATGGTCTGCCCTCGAAGATTACTGGATCCTATTGGATTCCAAGATACCATGAGAAGGATTCCGGCCTATCTGACTGACGCTCCTGTCGAGGCTCTGGTGGATAGTTGGCTCAGGGCTGTTGACAGAATCGCACCTAAATGCCTTCTCCGGCGCAGAGATTGCCCTTCGCCCTGGGTTAATCCAGAGCTGTAATTAATGAAGTGAAATAGGAGAAGGCTAGAGCACCCATGGAGGCGGAACCCGGCGGAAAACAATCAAATAGCTGCCAAGATCGCGACTAACCTCTCCCAATGTAAGGTGAAGGCTGCTAGTCAATCTTACTTCACTGTCCGGATAAGCGAAGCTTCCAGTCAGCAGGCGGAACTTTTCCGTATAGTTCGCGATCTTTCTGGAATTGGTCATGGTGATTGGCTTCCCTCTAACATCTCACCTGACCAATTTGCAGCCTTTTTAAAAATCAAAAGTGGAGGCCATCTGCTGGGATCTTGCCCCCTATTCGAAAACAGTAGATTGAGCTGAGATGTCCAGTGCTCTGTCTTGCCCGATGAGACTTAACCACTTTCAGCCTGTGACGTCAGATATGGGGGATAGAGTGCTTGACCGCTGTCTTGCCACCACCTCCTTCCTTGACCCTTGCCCGGCCTGGCTAATAAAATCAGGGAGGTCTATAACATCTAAATGGGCTACAGCAATAAAGGGTCTCTCCAGGAGGGCAAGGTTCCCCTTGCCCTCAAGGAGACACTCATTAGGCCCATTAGGAAGAAACTGAGCTTGGTGGCGGATGATATTGGTAATTATAGGCCCGTCGCCAATGTTTCTTTCCTTAGCAAGGTAGTTGAGAGGGTGGTGGCTGATCAGCTGCAGGTTCTTCTGGATGAAACCAATGCCCTGGATCCATTCCAGTCAGGCTTCAGGCCGCGCCATGGCACAGAAACAGCATTGGTTGCCCTGTATGATGACCTGCTGAGGGAGGCCAAC